TGTTAATATTTTGATAAACGGCAAACGGCTCAACCCGATCTTCTCGTTATCCACCTGCAGTGCTGCTCTCGCTCTCTTGTAGCGCCATCGCCGGCCGCAATCTGCCACAAACTCGTACCACATACTGTATGGGTCTCTGTAATCACACTGGCAGTACAACTCTCTCGTTTCCTGCGCTTCTCTTCTTATGCAACCTTCACCGTCTCATGCTTCCCTCACTCTCTCAAGCGCCTTCTCAGCTCGTTTTACGTTCCTTACTTCGCTCCCGCTTTTGTGTTCGTTCTTCTCGCGCAGATCAAGCAACGTCCACGTTGCGGTCGAAAATAACTGAAAATACTGGCAACTGTACCATGTATGCTAAACTGTAAGTGCCAAATCCCGCTAGAAGCGGCCAAAGCTGTGTTTGTCGATGCCTTATAGCAGCACTGCTGAGATCTATGAAATGGTTTCTCCATCGTACTGAAAGTTGGCACGACTGTTCTTGCAGCACCACGTTCTTCATCTTGCTCTCGCATCGCCTGTCTCATCACGTTCTCCTCACCCCTCTCCCCTTGCAGCACGGGTCAAAATCAAACGTACTCCTTTACCCTCAACTTTCTGGGCATTAAATCTAACTCAAGTGTCACCTTTTCTGGTATCTACAACAAGTACGGGGATTTCGTGGCGGGATTCCCTTGCACGGTTCGGCGCCATTGGGAGTGCACCGCCACAGGTAAGGCGAGAACCATATTGCCTGACCAGCCCGTCTACCCAATTGAGCCGTTGGTCACTGCTGGGCTGTTCAAGAATCCCGAGGCATTCTATTTCAAGGTTAAGGTTGACGTCTTCAATCTGAGGGGGTCGTTAAGCACAAAAAAGTGGAGTAGCTCCGCCTGACAGGGATTTCCACGGAGTACTCATCACTGGCGTCGGGTTTTGACGTGAATTTGAGGAGCCACCGGGGACAGAATCTTAAAATTTCGAGCTGCTGCTATCATAAAGTTTGGATGCACCAGGCTTGTGTGATGTTATTGGTGCTTGGATTGTCTTAAATGTTTGCAGAATGAATGACAATCTCTGGGTACTGTATGTGTACAATGTACTGTATATGCTGGTTGTGCTGCTGGAAACGAAACACATCAGCCTGTTCACCTCATTGCAGTCCTCTCAAGTTCAAGTCCCAAGCATACTTCCAACAACGCAAATGTCCTGTGTCAGATGCGTGTAGGCAACCCAAAATCATGAACTCAGTTTTGCTCAACCTACCTGTACATGTGAATGTCAAGGCATGGTGTCATGAGTCATGGCAGGAGGTAGTTGACATCTCCTTTATTCTACGAGCGCAATGTCTTGTACGCACATGCATCTTCGTGTAGAGCCTGGTAAATATGGTAACAAAGACAAGACAAGCAAGTCTGGCTGACCAAAATGCTAGTGCTAGATATTGGTACGGTTATTCCTAAAGCCAAACTAGGCGTATAGCTGTGGGATCTAGTCATATATTACCCAGGATATCAAAGTGGACCTGGTGTTACAATCATCCCATGGAAGTTGTCCCTGATGAGGCATTCAACGTCTTCAGTTTCTGTTGCAATGACCTGGAGGCTCTTGAGCCCATTGAGCCACTTGAGACCAGCGACAGTGACATTCGCATCCCACAGCCCGAGCCTCTCCAGGCGCTTCATGTTCCTGAGGAGCTTCATGCCGGAATCAGTCACCCCTGGAGGCACAGTGAAGAGCTTGAGTGCGGTGAGAAAAGTCAAGTGCCGCAGCCCGTCCTCCGTCACTCCAGAGTCGTGCAGCCTGAGAGATGTCAGTGCTGTCAACTCGCCCACATGCACCATGCTGGCCGAAGTGACAGCAGAGCACTCAGAAACATTCAGATCCGTGAGCTGTGTCAGCGCCAGCAGCTTCTGTACTCCCACGTCTGTTATCGGGTTGCTACGAAGATCGAGCGTGTGAAGGTTCTTGAGGTCGTCAATGCCATCAAGAGCAGCATCCGTTGTCTTTGTACCGGTCAGATCCAGAAGTCCCAGGGTCGTGAGAGAGAAGACATGTCTCAGTCCCACTGCAGTGAACCCGGAGGCCCCGCTGAGGTCGAGCCATGCGAGAGAGTGCATGGAGGAGAGGCGAGTGAGGGCGGTGTCTGTGAGGAGGGACACGCCGCTGAGGTCCATGCGAGACCTGCCTGGAAGCACCTTGGCCCAAACTCCGATCAGTTCCTGCAGTGCAGCCAAGAGCAGCAATAAGGCAAACACACACACACAGATGAGCACGACCTAGCGACGCCAGGGAGACAAATCCTGGTGGGAGACAAATTCCGCACATCATGTTTGTCAGGTGTGAGGCACTCGGTTCGGAACGAGCTGTCCGGTTGGTGGTCGATGGAGGAAAATTATAAGGACGGAAATCCAAACGCTTTTGTAATTTACTTTCGAAACGGTAGGGCTGACTGACATGGTTTCGATTAACTTCTGGATATCATGCGGACCAAAATGGGTTCGTTTCCACATGGAACCCAGCATCGATTACGCACAAGGCAGGAACGAAAACAGCACACCGGAGAATAGGGTTGTATCACAAGCCGACCAACAGTTAACCATCCCATACGACCCACGCGGATTCCAGAATCCACATGCCAGTGCCACGCCGTCTTGCATCCACACCATCCGCCCGTTTGCACTCACCTCCCATATCTTGCTTCCTCCTTCGCTCGTTTTCTCCAGCGCTTCCACTCGCGCCCTCAGCCCCTGCAGCTCATTATCTCCCTCCTTTGCTTTGCCCTTTCTGTTCGCCTCAACACGATTTCCTCCAGGCGCACCGCCAACGGCGAAAGGCCCAAGCCCAGCCCCTGCAGGAGCATCTTCCATTTCCTCCTGCTTACACGCCTCGTTCCTCTTCCGCCTCTTCCCTTCGCGCCTCTCCGCCTCTGCATGCTCCCCCGCGCTGCCCGCCTCGCGCTCGGCGCGGATCTTCTCCGCGGGCCCCTCCTTGAAGGCGGCGAGCGCCAGCTCGACGTCGTTGATGCGCGCCTCCGAGTGCGCCGCCGTCGCCTTCACGTACGCCACCTCCGCCGCCTGCCGCTCCGCCGCAGCCCTCATCCGCGCAAGCTCCGCCTTCAACGCGCCCATCTCCCCGCGCACCTCACTCGCCGCGTCCCGCGCTTCCCCCCTCGCCACTTCCAACTGCGCCTTCACCTCCTCCACTTCCAGCGCAGCAAAAGCGTTGTTCCGCCGCGCGCCAATGCCCTCCGCTGCCTCCTCTGGCTCACTCCCTTTTCCCGCCCCCTCCCCCAAAGCGCCCGTCGCCGCCATCCCCTTGAGGAGGACCATGGCTCGGCGCGTTTCGGCCAAGTCGCGCTGCATGGCAGCCATGGCGTCGCCCTGCTCCCTCAGCTTCGCCTCCAACGCCGCCACGCGCTCCCCCACGCCGCCCGCCATCTCCTCCAGCTGCACCTTCAGCACCATGCCGTTCACCAGCCTCAGCTCCATGTCCCGTGGTGTCATCGCCATTTTCTTCTCAACCCCGAGTCTCGTCAAGGTCGAGTGCTGTATGTCTGTACGCTGCAACTTTACGCACAGCAACTTCAAAGCTGGAGGGTAACAACTTTACTACTGAAATAGAAATGACGTAATTCGCGACGCTGGCGAGGGAAACGTGAAATAACTAGGTTTGTTTGGAGCTGTACTGCTGGATCTTGGTGCTTGGGGAATAGATTCCCAAGCAGATGTGATTTGCTTGGACCAATGCTGGCAAGCAAAGCCTTCCGCCAGCCAAACCGAACCAGAGCAAACGAGTCTCATCGTCACTACGAAATGAACGGTTGGACATGCTGGGAGCGGCTGACGTGTGACTCTTGTTCCTTCGCGAGCAAATGAAACAACAGGTCGCCGCAAAACAAGTGTGAGGTCTGGCAGGTGTGTGAACCGAACGAAACCACCCCAGCAGGAAATCGACGGTCAAGTCCATTTCGCCTTTACATGTGAGAAGCTCGTTGAGCACGAAGCAAGCAAGTAGCATTTTTGTGAGCCTCATATAAGCATGACGAATGGGTTCGAGTAATGCAGCAGTATAACAACATCAAAACAGTTGAGGCACACAAGAGAACTGTTGAACCAATGATTGAAATGCATTTGGAGTGCTTGTGTCTCTCAATATGAAGTACGCTACTTTTGTGTATACAAGAGCCATCCTGATCTGTTTCTTGCCGACCAGGCACAGCTCCCCTTACCTAGCGTATGGGGTTGTGTCGAAGTTGTACCGTATTTGTTACATGTCACATTGGTTAGCCTAGGTTAAGGTTGCCTATTTGTATCACCCTGCTGCTGCCTAGTTCAACTCATTCCGCTGTTTCTACTTCTGACACTTTTTAGCAAAGCCATTTTCAGAATATGGTACATGTAGTATATATTAAGGGTTAGAGAGATATGAACCATGTGCCAAGGGTATCTTGTAAGAGTCTGGTTAGAACACTATGGTACTGATGCAACTAGACTGACACGTCAGCTCCTTTGCTTACGGCAAGCACAGCTGCATGCCCACCCACAACGACGAGACAGTACAATCATACCCTCCATTGAGTGACCGAAAAAGGTTAACTTTCCGCTTGTATCGAGACGCGATTAGTTTGCCACATGTGTCACCCCTCCTCACGAGGTAGAACCGACTAGTCTCACATGGAATTCCTCCGGAACCCGGCCGCTCATCCACGAGTAAACACACCTGGTGTGTGAGGGAGGGGTCAAACCACAGGATCTCTCACATTTGTGTCGCAATCAGCATGCCATGTGCTTTGTCCAATGTCCAGTGCGAGATGGGCCGTGCAAGGCTCATGTACCGTAATTGCAGAGAGAACTGGATGCAAGGGCAGGCAGCACAGCATGTACGCATGGTGTGAGCACTCATAGAGTGGAACGACCAGACCAGCAGGATCAGCCAACAGCACCGGGCGGCGACAAGGACCCAGAAAGATTTGAAAACTGCTCGAATAGGCTCAAAATCGCTCAACGTATGAGAACGATCTAAACTTTCAGGTGCAATTCAGAAGTGCGCACCGTGTCGAGAACAGAGTCGTCCCACCCAGCAGCACCGGGCAGCATGTGGTCGCAGTAGAGAGCGGGGTTGATGCGGAAGATCTTGGAGTAGCCCATGCGGCTCCGCCCGTTGCCGAACGTGGCGGTCTGCTGGCACGTGTGCAGGTCGGACTCGAGAGCCTTGTGCGCCATGCACGCCGCCACGGGGTAGGTGCGCGTCTTGGTGCTGTTCTCCACACATATGCGCTGCTCAGAGCATTGGGAGGCCGGGGGAGGGGGAGCGGGAGGAGGAGGGGGGGCGGGAGGGGGAGCAGGAGGGGGAGGGGGACGGAAAGGGGCATGGGGAGGGGGATGGGAAGGGGGAAGAGGATGGGGAGGGGGAAGGGGGAGGGGGGGTTAACATAGACTATCCTTCATTGCTTGACTATTTCAAAAAGCAGGGCGAGTTATAATGTACAGAACCACAAAGAATTTAATCTTTTATGATTATGAAGTCTACATGGACATAGCCATGGTAGTACATAAAGAACCCCGAGAGCGTGTACTGCAAGGCAAGGGGATTGGATCTGTGGTAAGAGATTGAGATGTGATCTGACCTTTCCAGGGACGAGAGGTTGTGAGCAGTCAATGTTACGGTTTAGGAGTGTTATGTTGGTGTCAAGGAGACTGTCTATTGACATGCACGTGTCACCCTGGGGTGGGTGGGTACGGGCGACAGAGGAATGGGTGTGTGTGTGAGTGCGGAAGGGGAGAAGTGGGACATGCAATACCAATATGATTCCTTTGGGCTTTGTGACAGTGTGGATTGGATTGGCTCGCATCTGTCACCCTGAGGTGGGAGGGTGGGGGCGAGATAGAGTTGGATGTGCGTGTGAGTGTGAGAGGGGGAAACGTGGGTCTTGCGATAAGAAATCGTGACTGCACATTTCAACTCGACATTCGACACCCAACACAAAAGCAGAGTCACAACAACAACCCCCACACCACCTTGAGCCGCATTGGAACTAGAAAACCCAACCACGTAGATCTACAAAACCAGTCACGCTAGTTTAGGTCGTCGCTCTTTCCTTAGCAACATTCTTGACCAAGAACTGGCGCGCCTAGTGCCTCACCTGGTTGCTGCTGCACATGCCTCACCTGGTTGCTGCTGCACATGCCTCACCTGGTTGGTGCTGCACATGCCTCACCTGGTTGGTGCTGCACATGCCTCACCTGGTTGCTGCTGCACATGCCTCACCTGGTTGCTGCTGCACATGCCTCACCTGGTTGCTGCTGCACATGCCTCACCTGGTTGCTGCTGCACATGCCTCACCTGGTTGCTGCTGCACATGCCTCACCTGGTTGCTGCTGCACATGCCTCACCTGGTTGCTGCTGCACATGCCTCACCTGGTTGCTGCTGCACATGCCTCACCTGGTTGCTGCTGCACATGCCTCACCTGGTTGCTGCTGCACATGCCTCACCTGGTTGCTGCTGCACATGCCTCACCTGGTTGCTGCTGCACATGCCTCACCTGGTTGCTGCTGCACATGCCTCACCTGGTTGCTGCTGCACATGCCTCACCTGGTTGCTGCTGCACATGCCTCACCTGGTTGCTGCTGCACATGCCTCACCTGGTTGCTGCTGCACATGCCTCACCTGGTTGCTGCTGCACATGCCTCACCTGGTTGCTGCTGCACATGCCTCACCTGGTTGCTGCTGCACATGCCTCACCTGTTTGCTGCACCACATGCCTCACCTGGTTGCTGCTGCACATGCCTCACCTGGTTGCTGCTGCACATGCCTCACCTGGTTGCTGCTGCACATGCCTCACCTGGTTGCTGCTGCACATGCCTCAGCTGGTTGCTGCTGCACATGCCTCACCTGGTTGCTGCTGCACATGCCTCACCTGGTTGCTGCTGCACATGCCTCACCTGGTTGCTGCTGCACATGCCTCACCTGGTTGCTGCTGCACATGCCTCACCTGGTTGCTGCTGCACATGCCTCACCTGGTTGCTGCTGCACATGCCTCACCTGGTTGGTGCTGCACATGCCTCACCTGGTTGCTGCTGCACATGCCTCACCTGGTTGCTGCTGCACATGCCTCACCTGGTTGCTGCTGCACATGCCTCACCTGGTTGCTGCTGCACATGCCTCACCTGGTTGCTGCTGCACATGCCTCACCTGGTTGCTGCTGCACATGCTGCTGCAGCTCTTGTTGGCAGAAGCCGACACGTTGACTATCAACCCACGCGGTATGGGTTTTTCACATGCCATGCCCTGTCAAGGCATTCATAAAAGAGAACAGCGCGACATTACACCGAACGATCTGTATGGTGAGTGTTCAAAGTGTTGAAGGAGCAATACAGTCTCTGCCAGGACATCCCACAAACAACAACCCCCCCTAGCAAGGTCGAGCAAGAAAAACTCGAGCAGATTGCTTGACAAGTTCTTCTCAAGTTCTTTCAACCTCGTGAATAAGACTTGATTCGACTTGAGAGAGTTTTATTCGGAAGATATGAAGCTCGAGTTGCCCGCATTACGAGAACGAGTAGGGAAAAAACTCTCGACTTGCATGCCCATGGGTAACTGAGAGGCTTTTTTTATCAACACACCTGACCTCATCACGACGCCTCACCTTGTTACTCTCGAGCAGCTCTTGAGGTGAGAGGTCAAATATGTCTAGCAGCAGAGGGCATGTGAGGCCGGGGGGTGCTGGGAAGAATGGCACTCGAGCAGCGGAATTGCTCACTGGTGGAGAGAGGACAGGGAGAGAGGAGGGGAAGGGGGGTATGGCGGGAAAGGGAGATAGGAGAGTGAGGCAGGGGGGGCAGAAATCGGGAAGCACAGAGGCGAACGCCATGGAGCAGTGGGAAGGCGAGGCTGGCGGGCGTGGACGAAGGGCTTCCATTCCACAGGGCCGGGCAGATGGTAACAAAGGGGGTGCACGGTGGGGGGGAGTGGGCGGCGGGGGGGAGAGTAACAAGGGTGCTGGCAGAACGGGTAGAGGGAAATCACATAAAGTGGGCGGCGCGGCGGCAAGAAGGGTGGTACATGAGGGGGGATGGGCTTCCTGGCATTTGGCTCCCTGGCATAGTGGTGGTGAGGGAGAGAAAAGGTGTGGTGGGAGTAGGGATATCACAGGAGGAGCAGCGCTCAATTGAAGCGCCTAGAAAGAAGTAGCCTTACAATTTTGTGTGGAAGGTGTTTTTGAGGAACACGCCTCTTAGCTGATGTCAGTGCCACGCTCAAGGTGAACACACGCGGTAGGGATCGATGGAATTTTGGCGTGCCTAGCTGTAAGCTAGATTACTAGGTGGAGTATAAAAAAGAGATCTCAGGGTTAAGAGGATGGGCGACTAGAAGCAGGATACACCACGTTACCTGGCTTGACGAACTTAGAGAGTCTACCTTGGTTACAAGGTCGCTTCAGGGGGTTAGAGTACAAGAGGCACACGAGGCGCTCTTGTGCACTCAATGCACAGGTGTGCACGGGAGATGAAATTAATGAAGGATCTCGCATTCCTGACCAACGTTAGAGAGTATACTCGCGAGGCTATCCCAGCAGCACTCACAACATTGTGGGTGAGTCAGCTGACAACCAAAATGGGCCATTCACTGTTGCAAGCAAAATGGGCCATTCACTGTTGCAAGCAAAATGGGCCATTCACTGTTGCAAGCAAAATGGGCCATTCACTGTTGCAAGCAAAATGGGCCATTTACTGTTGCAAGCAAAATGGGCCATTCACTGTTGCAAGCAAAATGGGCCATTCACTGTTGCAAGCAAAATGGGCCATTCACTGTTGCAAGCAAAATGGGCCATTCACTGTTGCAAGCAAAATGGGCCATTCACTGTTGCAAGCAAAATGGGCCATTCACTGTTGCAAGCAAAATGGGCCATTCACTGTTGCAAGCAAAATGGGACATTCACTGTTGCAAGCAAAATGGGCCATTCACTGTTGCAAGCAAAATGGGCCATTCACTGTTGCAAGCAAAATGGGCCATTTACTGTTGCAAGCAAAATGGGCCATTCACTGTTGCAAGCAAAATGGGCCATTCACTGTTGCAAGCAAAATGGGCCATTCACTGTTGCAAGCAAAATGGGCCATTCACTGTTGCAAGCAAAATGGGCCATTCACTGTTGCAAGCAAAATGGGCCATTCACTGTTGCAAGCAAAATGGGCCATTCACTGTTGCAAGCAAAATGGGCCATTCACTGTTGCAAGCAAAATGGGCCATTCACTGTTGCAAGCAAAATGGGCCATTCACTGTTGCAAGCAAAATGGGCCATTCACTGTTGCAAGCAAAATGGGCCATTCACTGTTGCAAGCAAAATGGGCCATGGGCCATTCACTGTTGCAAGCAAAATGGGCCATTCACTGTTGCAAGCAAAATGGGCCATTCACTGTTGCAAGCAAAATGGGCCATTCACTGTTGCAAGCAAAATGGGCCATTCACTGTTGCAAGCAAAATGGGCCATTCACTGTTGCAAGCAAAATGGGCCATTTACTGTTGCAAGCAAAATGGGCCATTCACTGTTGCAAGCAAAATGGGCCATTCACTGTTGCAAGCAAAATGGGCCATTCACTGTTGCAAGCAACCATCAAAACACATGTCATGTCAGCAGCACAGGTGCGTGAGTGCTGCTGCTGAAGGCAAACGGCAGGAAACAATGAGAATCTGCCTCACCTCAGGTGTTCGAGTTAACTCAGAAATTACGTAGATTAAAGCTAGGTTAAAGAATATTTCTATGAAGTTGAAGCCAGGGTTAACAAACCGGGCGCACAGAAAGCAGGTCAGACGATGGCTTCAAGCAGTTTACGTGATTCAGCTGAGTTACAAGGTACCCTTGGGAAGAGGTGAGGTTAGTCTACCTTGGTTACAGGGTTGCTTGAGGGGGTTAGAGTAGTCGAGGGGGAAGAAGGCGGGCGGGCAGAGGCAGAAGGAGGTGGCATCATAGCCCTCCAGGCACACGCCCGGCGCACAGGTGTCAGTGCTGTTAAGACGACATGCGGGGAACTCTGGACGGACATTGAAAAGGTGGAGAGGAATTCAGAGAGGTTAGAGGCGATGAGATGGTAAGTGGGATGGAACTACAGAGGGAACTACAGTGAATGGGGTGGGAGGCGATGAGATGGTAAGTGGGGAGTGAGGCGGTTAGAAGTGCAGCCGCTAACCTGGTGAAAGGGGAGGGAAGTTTCAATGTGCTGGGTGATTGATTGTGCTGTGAACGTTGAGCTTAGATGGATTTGACGGAGTTATGGATGTGGCAACATTTGAGGGGGTTGCAGCTGCAATGGCTGAACTGAAAGGCCACGAGCTCGTGCTGAGGCAATGGACTGGACATCTTTAGTGAGACGTAATAATAGTCAGCAGGATTTACCCTTGTCAATACTCTTGTGCACGATAGCCGTAATTTTTGTCAGCAGGATTTATGCGGTGATGGCTGCGTTGTCTTACCATTGAAGCACGATTGGAAGGCGGGCATTTGGGGGAGCTTGTAGCTGGGCTGGCTGAGAGGGCACGAGCACGTGCTGGTGTATGTGCCTGTGGTCGCTGACCGCACCGCAGTGCACCTGCCAGCACCGCATGGATTCACGTCCCATGCCGTGCATGGGTTGACGTCTGTGTGACATGGGGAGTGAGGAGAGACAAGGAGGAGAGGATGATGGGCGAAAGGGGAAAAGGGCTGAACAGAGGAGCAAGAAGGGTATGAAAACATTACGATTAGAGTGGAATCACTAGTTGAGTGAATATATGGATGCACTGTTTTGTTCCCAGTTAACGATTCAAACGGATGCATGAATCTTGTGGCGCAGGCACGCTCAATCACCGGCAATAAGCGTGCGGTTATTTTGTCAACTGGGAATCAGCGGATCGCGTATGTACAGTAACATATAGCTCGTACACGTACCCTATGCCATACACTTCTGTTTTCCAACATAGCATATTCTCACGCATGTGGCACATGGAAATCAGACTCAAAGCAAGTGTGCATGTGCATACAGACAAAGAACATACGCACAGATGCACATGCATGCATCTACAGGCGCAGATGCATTCAGGCACACAAACCTGAGAAATCAGATGATCCACACCCCAATGGACCGTACACATACACAGATGCACACATTCACACACACACACACACGCGTGGCACCCTCACCCAACCCTTCACACGAACCTGTGAATCGGAAGGTCCACGCTTTGATGGCCTGAACACACGCAATCGTGCTGGCACTGCTGAATCCCGCAAACACCGGAATCACTCCTGCACTGCTGCTATTGGCATCGTAGAACACAGAGCACAGGTCAAGAGTCAGCTTCACACCCCCCATCCTCTGTGCCCCGTTATAAGTCACTGCCTCCAGTGTCTTAGCGGCAGCCGTATAGTCCACCCTCATGCTGTACAACAAAGAGGATGAAGTGTATCTCTTCTGCGACGAAGAATTCAGGCGCTGAGTCACGTTAAAGTCAGTGAGAACGGAGAGAATCGCCACGTCCTTGTTAATGTCATGGTTAGGGTCAACGCCGCTGTAGGCATCAAACATCACTGCCACACTCCTCGCTCCATCCGCCCACGTCCCATTCGCATCCCTCCCTTGCGAGTCCCGGCCATACCCCATGCCCGTCCCTCCTTGCCCCACCCCTGGCCGAGTACTTAGCACAAAGACTACCCCAAACCCGTTTGTCATTCTCCCGTTGAGATCAAACGCAAACCACGAGGTGAAGGATCGAGCCTTGCACACCACAGCATCGGTTTTTCCGCCATTCTTCCCCTTGCGGGGGGGAGGAGGGGGGAGGAGCGAGAGCAGGGGCAGGGGGAGGGGGAAGAAGGCAGCGCCTGTCTCCTCGTCGTCGTTGCCCGGGGTGAGTTGCAGCGAGGAGAAGGTGTGGCGAGTTGATCCCCAGGCAGTGAAGCGGGCACCTTGCGTGAAGAAGGGCAAGGAGAGCGATGGCTGCTGCCACAGCGGTAGAGGAGCCGGCGCTGGGAGGTGGATGAATTGGGGGGAAAGAAGGAGGGGCGCAGGGAGCACAAGGGGAAAGTAAGTGACGAAGGAAACAAATAGAGGAGTGATTGAGGTTGAAGCGAAGGGGGAGGGGACAGATGAGCAGAGGGATCTGGTGGTAGGAGAGGAGAACCACACACTACTTCTGAGACGCCTAGAAAATGGGTAGGAGAACATATGACACGTTACACGCCACACCAACCCCTCCCCCATTTGCCCCACCCCACCTCCGCCTCCTTCCACTCACTGTGGTTGCCGAAGCGGAAGGCCCAGGAGAGTGTGCAGCTGTAAACCTCCCCACGCAACTGCCCTTCCACCTGCCTTACATGGATTTGACGGAGCCAGCGTTTTCTACTCTCCCCTTCTTCCCCCCGCCCTTCTTCCCACCGGCTCATCTCCCTTTTCACCCTCACAACTTCCCCCTTCTTCTTCCTCTCTCCCTTATGCCTCTCCTCTCTCCCTTCTCCCCTCGCCCCCTGTCCTTCCCCTTCTCTTCCCCTCTAACCCTCTTCTCCCATTTTTTTGGCACTCAAGATTTTTTCGATTTCGGGCTGCCCAAAAAAAAACAGGCAGCGTCCAGGGTCAAAACGTCCAGCGTCAAAACGTCCAGCGTCAAAACGTCCTAGCGTCAAAACGTCCTAGCGTCAAATCAAATCCATCTAAGCCGCCTGCCACTCCCCCGCGCTCACCTTGGGTGTCGACCTGGAAGGCCCAGGAGAGGATGTTGTGCATCTGCGTGTGCAGAGGCAGCAGCCCCGTGCCCGCTGCAAACCCCACTTGCACCAACACGGCCTCCCCGTCCCCACCGTTCTCCGAAGCAGAGTGAAAGAGATCACAGGCGTTGAAGGGGAGGGAGAGGAGGGCGGAGGGGGGCATGGCGGGCGAGGAGGAGAGGCGCACGGAGAGCAGCGAGGCGGTGGCGTTGTATGCCACCCATGCATGCAGTGTTTGGTTGGCATTGGCAGCCAGAGAGGGGATGCCCGCGGGGTGCACGGACGCATGGCCTGCTGACGCCATGCTGTAGTCCATGTTGATCCCCACGTGCTGCACCGTTGGGTCCAGGAACAGACGAGTTGATGACGTGTCAAACTCCACTGCCAGGCTGTGCTGATGTGGCAGGCTGCTGTTGAAGGTGATACCAATGGAGCTGCTGCTGCCAATCACGGTACATGAAACGGCCCCGTTCTCTACCACACACACTTCTTCCTCTCCCCCCTCGTCAAACCCCCCTACACCCACAAACACCTCTTCCTGCCGGTAAGGCCTTCTGCCGTATCCCATGTTTGGCCCGGGCAGCCCGATGGTCGGGTCGGGCAGGAGAACAAAAGCGAAGCCGTCGGCCCCAAGAGCAGCAGGGTGGGGGGAGGAGAGGCGGAAGGAGAAGGAGGAGGAGAAGGAGTAGGGGCGGCAGGGGGAGGTGGGGGAGGCGGGGGAGACGAGGGGGAAGGGCGTGGGGTGCAGGGCAAGGCCCGCTTGGTGGGGGGGAGAGAGGGCGGTGAGGCGCAGCGAGGAGGGGAGGAGGCGGGCGGAGCCGGAGGTGAGGAGGGGCGAGGAGGAGGTCAACGGGGAGTAGGAGAAGGACGGAGGGGCGGAGGCCGCTGGAATTTGAGGGCAGGCGGGAGAAACAAAAGGGAGGAGGGGGGGGGGGGGGGGGGGGGGGGGGGGGGGGGGTAAAGGAAAGACAAAGGTGAGAATAAGAGCAAATGTGTTTGGGCATGAGAAAAGTAGAGAAAGAGGTGGACTATCAGGAAAAGGAACGAGCTCCAAGGATACGGAGTCCGTTGTAAGTGTGTGTGACCAACGGCTTGTGGGTCGACTCACACACTGTGCTCCCAGAATGAACGCCCAACAGCATGCTCCCTGCTGCCACTGCAACCGACCTGTTGTGAGTGGAGTGAGCACGTGTGATCCCAACAAGCGCACCTGTGCCTCTGAGCGCACCTGTGCCTCTGGGAGCCACCGTGACCAGATCCACATCGATGCTCCCCGCTGCCGCTGCTGCCGACGTGAGCTCCCCGCCTTCCACTGCTGCCGCTGATGCTACAGACGCGCCCCCAGGCACAGTCGAAGGTACGGGAGCGGGCACGCCAGTGGGAACAGGCAGTTCCACAGTGGCAGCAGAGGGCGTGCTGCTGCTGTCCGCCGCACTGCCCTCCAGCAGCACGAGGTGCAGCGCAACGCCTTGCGGCGGGAAGGATAGAGCAGCGGCGGAGGCGGGGGAGGGTGGGAGGTGGAAGGAGTAGGGTCCGTGCTGGCGCCAGGGCATGAGGCCCGAGAGTGAGTAGGAGTTGTTGCGGCACGGAACGCCCACCGTCCATTCATGCAGCACCATCACGTCTGCTCCTCCGCTGCTCATAGCGCCTGCTAGCGCCCTCGCCAGCTCGCCTTCGTCCACACTGCTGCTGCTGCTGCTGCTGTTGCTGCTGCTGCCGGCGGTGGCTGGTGGTGGTGGCAGGGGCAGGGCGACGATCATGGCTCGCATGGGCCGCAATCCAGAGGCAGGCAACATATCCATCATGCACTCGCGTGCCCTTGCATAGAAATACAGCGAAAACTCCCCCTGCTGCTGCTGCTCCTGCTGCTGCTGCTGCTGCTCTCCGCCTTCCGCGACACACAGCAGCTGCCCCAGTCCCTGCACCGGCCACACTGCCCCTTCCCTCTCGCTCGCCCCGGTGCCCCAAAGCTCGCCACCGGTGCCGCCACTGCCGTCGCTGGGCTGCAGGCGAACGAACCGACCGCCCTCAGCAGCAACGGACGGGTCCCCGGGCGGAACCTCCCCCCCCCCTCCCCCCTCCCCCTGTACCACCCCCGCCACCTGCCCCTGCTGCGCTGCTGCGCCGGGGACGAGCGGCACCCAGGACGACAGGGGCGACGGCCAGTCCGCTGCAATGGAAGCCTCCTCGAAGCCCGCATTGCGCAGGAGGTTCAAGGAGGGAGCTGGGGGGCGGTGGGGTAGGCGGTGGGTTAGGCGGCGGGAGGGCCGGGGGGAGTGTTGGGGGGGGGGGAGGAGGGAGAGATGATGGAGAGGAATTAATAAGGGGAGCGGAAATGTGACGAGGAATCAAAGTGCAACTCTGGGATCGGGTCGGGACAATGAACGAACGAACAATTGGGGAGAGGTGACAAATTTATCCGACAGATAAGGTGGGGAGGAGCAATTGGGCCGGGGAAAGGGGGGCGGAGGGAGGGGGGAAGTGGGTTAGTGCAGCAGTAGGCCGGGAGTAAGCTGGGCGGAGAGTAGTGCAGCAGAGCCGGTGGTGCTGGGCGGGGGTTAGAGCGGAGCGGGAAGGAAGGCGTAGGGGCGGAAGGCTGGCGGCAATGGAAGGCGGAAGAGACGCGATGATGCGGTGACCGCCGCTCGCGCAGAAGGCGGAGGCAAAGGCCGCCGTTCACTGCTGCTTGCGGAACCGGGTTGGTTGGGGAGTGTTGGGAGAGTTGCGGTAAGAAATGGCGAAAATCATATTTCGCGGCGTTTTTCTCATCGTATTACTGCGCGACTGCATTTTGAAGGGTTGAAGAATCGATACCTTGAGCGGCGAGGCTGGCGCATGTCGGCACGGTAGCGTTGGCGACGGCGACGAGCGAGAGGAACTGCGCGGTTACCACTAGAAGGACAAAAACGCCGAAGAGGCGACCTGGACTCGTGATGCCACGTGGAGCCAGCCAGGTGGAGGCATGATTCGGATTCGTGCCGACAAGCAAAATCGCAGCGAGTGACTCGCTACAGAGTGACCCGTTAAGAGGCCGGTTCCCGTGTGGCATGGAGAGAAGTGCCGCGAGAGCGGACAGCGAATGCGCGGAAAGGGGAGACGGAGCGAAATTGCGGTGGCAGCATCGCGCGGCAGTAGGAAATGATTCTAACTTCTGCGGATTCAAAAATACATCCCCATTCCTGTCTTGTTTCTAACCACCCTAACAAGCCAGGGAAAAGCCAAGCTCGACCTGAGTTCAGGAGCAAGTTTTTCAGGCGGGAACATACGGCTGGGAGCAATCCAGCTCGAACCCTAACCACACAGCACCACGCTTGTATCTCACTAAAACGTACCAAATAGTATTTTAACCTCTCTGAACTTCGAAATCTGAGCCTTGTGGAAACCATATTTGTTTGAAGTACGGCTGCTGGGCAGCCTGCACGTAAATCTACCCGAGTTGCAATTTGCAATCCCTCATGGGAAGGAAGTTGGGAACTCGACGGGGCGGTGGTTGGGAAAGGAACGGAACAAATGGGCAGAGGCTTTGCGGCAGAGAGCAGCCCAGCCGAACTGCCGCACGCATCGCGTGAATTTGGGGAGTTGGGTTGAACCGAGAGGGGAAGAAATCAGTGACCCAAGGCCGGCCCTGCCCTAGGCACAAACACAATCCGAAGTTTGGATTGGTTGGACAGGACACGCACTCCTGCCTCTCCGCACGCGGCACTACCGATGGAGGATATGCTGACTGACAGACTGGCGCGTTGACATTGGCCCTTGGCCCTGTTCGGTAGGCGCCCCATACAGGGGTTGGTGTGGGGCAGCTTCCCCCGCCCAAATTCGAGCAGTGCTAAAGCTCACAAACTCGAGGCCCTGTTAGATAGGCAAACACCAACGGCTGCGGAATAATCTGGGCTGTTTCGATTTAGGGTTTGTTCGGCCGGTCAGCCCATAAAATATTGCCTAACCTGTTGAACACTGCCTAACCTGACAAACCCGTGTTAGCCTGTAGAACGCATCTTTTAGGACGTGTTACGGTTCGCCTCTGATCTGCTGTGATCTGGTCGGGTCGGGTTGCCCCTGATTGCAACGCTCGTGCCGCCCGATCAGATGAGATATTCTTCGAACATTCAGCGAGGGTGCATGGCAAGCGTGGCACCCCTTCCTGACACTTTCGGGCCCACTTTGGCGAGGGCGAAGACCTGTCCATTGATCTAGCGATTTTAAGTCTCCTTGGCCCTGATCGATACCACCCTTAAGCGGAGTGAGTGAGCTTCGAGGGAGTTCACTAACTCCCGCTTCGCACGTGTGACGGAAGTTTACTCACTCCGACGTGGCTTACTCCGAGTAAGCCAAAATAAGCAAACGATCGCTGAACTACCTACTCGGAGTACGACTCGAAGTGGCCCTTCAGGAAGTTTCGATCACGGGCAAACTTAGCTCCGCGGAGGAACTCCGCTTACTCCAGCATTTTGGGAGAGTAAGCCTCGCTTACTCGGAGTAAGGCCTCGAAGGGCGAACCCGATAACACCGCAGATTTTGTTTTTGTTCTTGCGGGGACACCCTCCTCAAACTCCTTTAGAACTTCCCATCCACTCCCAGTGGTTCTTGATGGCGTCATTTTGTGGTCCAGTTACCCCTTTGCGGGAATTAATTTTCTTGGTGACGAGTGGGGCAGTCTGGGCCGAAAGCAACAGTGTTTCTAAGGAAATCACGCTCACGACCCTCGCAACTTCCCTACGCGGAGTTTCGAGGGCGTGCCGATCACCCCTCGGAGTTGGGAAACTTACAGGAGGAAAGGGGAAGCACCCATCGACACGTGCCTACACGTGTGGGTCGGTGTACTCTTGTTCGAGTGCCAACGCAGCGGAAGGTTACTCGGCTTAGGGGCTACCGATCAGGGCCCTTGTAACTTCGCATAAACAGGTGCCCAGAAACGCTGCAGCTCCAGAACCATCCAACAAAAGTTCTTGCCATGTTGGTTGGTTGTGCGAGGGCTCCACGATACCCAGCACAACACCGTAACTTCTCGCAAGCGTCGCTTGGTAGCCCAAACCAATGCAATCAACTGATCGTCGGTGATTGGGTGAGGTGGTGTTTGATTGGGCGGTTTTAGGCGGTTGATCGAGTTGGGGCGATCAGCTGATCGCGATCAAGTGATTGTCAGAACATATATATAGCTTATGCTGTTGTGTAGGCTATAGTGGGGTATCCCATAGGGGGTACAACCCAATTAGGGTTTCCTATATGTACTCACTTCATTCATAGTTCATTCATTCTTGTTCAAATCTTCTCATGGTATCGAGCAGGTTCCCCCTTGGGAACTGTGCTTAGGGCCCACCACATCGATTTTTTTTCCTGCCCGAAGCGCGCTCAGCCCGAGTCGCGCTCCGGGCCCTCACTTCGTCGAGCCGCCCTAGCGGCCCTTCACTGCGGCCCCGCCACTCGTCTCAGCGGCCCCGCCGCCCGTCTTCGCGGCCCCGCCGCCTCTCTCCTAGCGGCCCCGCCGCCCTACCTAGCGGCCCCGCCGCCCTACCTCGCGGCCTCGCCGCCCTATTGCGCGGCCCCGCCGCCCTACCTAGCGGCCCCGCCGCCCTTACTCGCGGCCTCGCCGCCCCATTGCGCGGCCCCGCCGCCCTACCTCGCGGCCTCGCCGCCCCATCGCGAGGCCCCGCCGCCCTACCTAGCGGCCCCGCCGCCCTTCCTCGCGGCCCCGCCGCCCCATCGCGCGGCCCCGCCGCCCTATCTAGCGGCCCCGCCGCCCTTCCTCGCGGCCCCGCCGCCCCCATCGCGCGGCTCCGCCGCCCTTCCTCGCGGCCCCGCCGCCCCATCAGCGGGCCCGCCGCCCTATCAAGCGGCCCCGCCGCCCTTCTCTGCAGCGGCCCCGCCACTCCTCTACAGCGGCCGAGCCGCCCAGCAGCAGCGCAGCCGAGCCGCCCAGCAGCAGAGCAGCCGAGCCGCCCAGCCGTCGAGCCGCCCTGCAGCCGAGCCGCCCGGGAGCCGAGCCGCCCTGCCGCCGAGCCGCCCTGCCGCCGAGCCGCCCGGGAGCCGAGACGCCGAGCCGCCCTGCCGCCGAGCCGCCCTGCCGCCGAGCCGCCCTGCCGCCGAGCCGCCCTGTCGCCGAGCCGCCCGGGAGCCGAGCCGCCCAGCAGCCGAGCCGCCGAGCCGCCCAGCTGCCGGGCCGCCCTACTGCCGAGCCGCCCGACCTGCCCTGCCTGGTGAGCACAGCACCACTGTTACTGCGTGCCCTTCCCCTACTGCTTGCACTACTACACTGTCGTCGTCATGGCTACCCCTAGTGTCCTCGCTTTTGACGCTGAGGGTCGAGCCATTGACTTTGAGGTCTGGGTCGACGACCTGCAGCTGTTCTTACAGTGCGATAGGGCGGACGGTCTTTCCCTCTTTGACCTCACCTCTGGCGCCTCTCCTGCCCCTGCTGCTGATGCTGACCCCACTGTTCGCTCTCAGTGGGCCACCCGCGATGCTGCTGCACGTCTTGCTGTGCGTCGCCACCTGCCTACCACTGAGCGCGCGCACTTTAGTCAGTACAAGAGTGCTCAGACCTTGTACGACGCTGTAGTTGCGCGCTACTCTTCCCCTGCCACTGCTGCCCTGAGCCGCCTCATGCTACCGTACCTCTTTCCTGACCTTGCTGCCTTTCCCACTGTCGCTGACCTCATTATGCACCTCCGCACTAGTGACACTCGCTACCGCGCTGCCCTTCCTGCTGAGTTCTGCGCCAAGAACCCCCCCCCCATGTACATCACTCTCTATTACATAGTCACACGCCTCCCTGACTCCCTTCGCGTAGTCAGGGACCACTTCCTCTCAGTCTGTCCCACCACTCTCACTGTCGACCTCCTCGAGAAGTCCCTCCTTGCGGCGGAGAAGAGCATCGTCGCTGTAGGAGCCTCTCGTGGTGACCCTCGCACCCCCATCTTTGAGGGGTGTTCTCCTTCCCCCCTGCTGCCCTCTGTTGCCTCTGCTGCTGCTGCCGACCTGCTTGGTCTTGAGTCGGTCTGCGCGGCGTCTGCCCCTAGCGGGAGACGCCGCCCTGGCAGGGGCAAGGGGGGCAAGGGCGCGGGTGGAACTGGCGGGGGCGGTGGAGGTGGCGGTGGAGGCGGCGGAGGGAGTGGGGGTGGCGGTGGGAGTGGTGGCGGGGGCGGTGGTGGCGGTGGCAGCTGCGGAGGAGGAGGCGGTGGTGGCGGCAGCGGTGGGAGCGGAGGCAGCGGTGGTGGTGGAGGTGGAGGCGGCGGTGGCGGAGGGGGTGGAGCTGGTCGGGGTGGTGCCCCGCAGCGTAGCGGCTCTGGTGGTGGCCAGCGTCAGCAGCAGCAGCAGCAGCAGCAGCAGCGTTCGCGGGACATCCCCCCGCCCCAGCAGCTCCGTGAGTGGTACACGCAGCTGTCTAGGGCTGGCGTAGCTATCTTTGATCTTGACTTTGATGCTATCCTTGCTGCCATGTATGCTGTGACTATTAGTGAGGAGGGTGACTGTTACCGGTGTTTCCCGCCCGACCCGGGCATTGGTACTGCTGCGCCAGGTACTTCTGCGGCTGCTGCTCTAGGTGCCAGTGCGTCTGCACTCTCAGGTACTGGTGAGGCTGCGCTCTCAGGTACTGCGTCGGCTTCGGCCTCCCTCACCTTCACGCTTGACTCAGGGGCTTCTCGCTCCTTCTTTCGAGACCGCACCACACTCACGCCGCTTGGCCGGCCGGTTGCAGTCTCCCTGGCTGACCCCTCTGGGGGTCCTGTCCTCTCTCACTTCTCCACTGTCCTCCCGTGTCCGGCTGCCCCCTCGGGCACCTTGTCTGGTCTGTACCTCCCCTCGTTCTCGACGAACTTGGTGAGTGGTGCTGACCTGCAGGATGCGGGGGTTCACCAGTTTACTCCTGCGAGTCAGCGGGTGACCCACTGCTCGGACGCCCGCACAGGCCGACACCTGGCCACGTTTTCGCGTCGGCCGGGGTCGAGTCTCTACACCCTGACCACTGAGTCTCCTCCTGTCCCTGCGTCTGGCCAGGTAGCTGCGTCGGGTCAGGTGTTTGCTGCTGCGTCCAGGTCTGGTCCTGAGTCT